TCAATATTTGCAATTTGATTTAGCTGCCTACAAATTCCCTGCTAAGAAATGGTATTAAATCCGAACGGAAGTCTATTATATAAACGTCTACGACATGAAGAATTGGAAAAAAATATGAAAGTTCCCACTTAGTTACCAAAAAATGTAAGTCACATTTTTTTACTCTTACAATTGAATAAAAAAAAGTTGAAAATATCTTTACGATAAGTTTGACACAAGGTTATACAGTGTAACCCGGATATAAGAGACCCGGATATAAGAGAAATCCGGATATAAAAGAGATTTTCTCTGGTCCCAAATTAGTGCCTGTGTTAATGTATATAAAATAGACCAAACCCGGATATAAGAGAAACCCGGATATAAGAGACTTCTTCTCCAATCCCGACAATTGGTCTATTTTATATACATTAACACAGGCTCTAATTTGGGACCAGAGAAAATCTCTCTTATATCCGGGTTTCTCTTATATCCGGGTTACACTGTATATTACTTTAAACGTTATTTTCCGTGAGTATACGTATTTGAGTAGCTACCCCTAATTTAATTTTCTTAATCAGTGTAATTATTTTCAAAAACTCTGGCCTAGAATACAGGGCCAATACAAGAATCACGTGACACCTCCGAATTTATGGTAATCTCATGAACTCAATGATAAGGACCCCGACTCTATTACATCTCAATTTTTATAAGATAGTATTCGTATAAAATACAAGTATTTTGGGGACCTAACTATCGTCAATAATGTATCATATGCAATATAGAAAAACTGAAAATAAATACAATGTATTTAAATACAAATTAGAAACATGACATAAAATTAATTCTATCAAAAATAAATCAACAATGCTTGACGGCAATTTGTATGATGTGAAAATCCGATACTTTTTGTTTCTCCTTTAATAGTCAGTTGTACTTAGTCTAATTTGTAACGTATATTAATGTAGATAGAAAAAAATCAAATGTTGATAAAATAGCGAGGATAACAAAACACCAGCCGGGACCCCCACGGTCGTAGGGTTCGGTTTTACTTACGTACTAGCACTTGTAAAACGTATACAAATACCATCAACAATAACGTTTATAGTAATAAAGATAGAAGGATATATGTATGGAGGCCCCTAGTAAACAAAATTTATGTTGTTATTTGGGTGAGGAATGTCGTTGAAAAAATACTTTACTAAGTGTTACAAAAATTAAGGACTTAAGATAAAACTTACCATTTTAGAAATAATGATCTGGAATTGGAATGAAAACTCTAAGACCACATGCCCTGAAACCATCATAAAAATTTCGGATGTGGAATTCACATTTATAAATCTTCTTCTGTGCATTGGATATTCCTGCCATATTTGGTCAGGTGTTTCTACAGATTCTCGACAAAAAGAGTTTCTGAAGCAACAGAAATGTCGTACTACATCTTTTGTTTTCCTAAAACCCTGTTCTTTTATTGTCCTTTCTCCTCACAGAAGTCTTCACATACTCATTCACTCCCAGTAACCTTGTGCCTCTTAGAGACATTATCGCAATCTTCTGTCTTCCTGAAACCTGTTATTTTATTGTCCTTTCTCCTCACCAAAGTTTTCTCATTCTCTTTCAGTCACAAAAAAAAAACCCTGGCGTCCTGAATATAGCAATAAAAATGAGAACAACAATCACAACAATGTAAATTGTGTAAATAGTTACAATACCTCATCTCAGAAATATAGTCAGCTCCTGAAGAAGTCCGTAGCGTACAACGGTCGAAACGTTGTGAATATACCAATAAAGTTGACGATATTAGTCCGAACAATGTAAATAGTGTAAATAGTTACATTACCTCATCTCAGAAATATAAACAGATCCTGACGTAGGCAAGAGCGTACAACGTCCGAAACGTCGTGAATATAACAATAAAGATATTGACAACTGTCCGAATAATGTTAATATTGTAAATCCTTACGATAACTCATCTCAGAAATATAGACAGAAATTACAGGATTTTGTGGAGTGACAAGTTCGCCCACGTTCTGAAAAAAACATGGCCCCAAAATTACATAACTTCTCTATTATTTTCACTAACTTCGTTAAAATGCATATATTAAACATCGATTTTATCTTTTAAACAGCGCCTTGCAGACACCTATTTTTATTGCTTTCAGTGGTAGAAATGGATACTTGTTGTGTGTCTATAATTAAAATTAATAAAAGTTAATTTAGTTTCAAAAAATAATTATGATAAAATAATTATTACTATTACAATTATCATTAATTTGCTCATTCTAAACCAATGAGAATCGACCTTGCTTGTCTTCTCTACACACACAAATAATTGACATTCTCACTATCGAACAAGCAGTTCACTCGGACAGGTCGTTAATATGTGCGTCAATAAAAATTTCATCTTTTCATTTTGCAGGCCATAATAGTAACTCAACAAAAATTGGAGGTAAGAAAACCACAGACACTTCTTGTATTTTTCCAACTTAATTTTATGGAATCTCATTAGATACATAAAACTAAAAAAAAAAACATATGAGAAAGATTGTATACAGTTTACTTATTCTTTACCTTATCATTCTGTGGGATTCCGATCCATATTTGATCAATATTTAATTATAAACTCACAATTTTACTCGGTATTTCTGTCTCTCGTGTCTCCAACATCAAAATACAGACAGATAATAAATAAAACTCGTTTCGTTCTTTCCACGTCTTGCTGTTTATCATTTTTACGAGTATTTTTGTATATATAAATGTTAGAGGGTTTATAACTATTTACTCGGAGTTATAAATCACCGACTGCTTTAAAATATTCAAGACAGCGGTTGTTAAACTTATAAAATCAAAAGCTAAGATGGTTGCTATTGAAACGACTCACGAGTGAAACCTGAAATTGATGCTTACTGTTTTTGTTGAAAGACTTTCGAAGAAGACTAATGTTTGGTTTTGCTTGATTTCGCAGATGATATTGGTATTTCCATTTTCGGTTCTCTGGTTTGCAGACTTTTGAAGAGAGCGAGCCAGAAAGCCATGCAACGCCTCGGGGCTGGTGGGGGTACATGGCCTAAGAACGTCACTGTCAAGTAAACGTTATATCGCAGTTTGGTAAGAATTCGAACCAGTTCACACTGACGCTAATTACGTCCCAAATCATGGGTCAAGACATAATGGAGAGGTTTACTCGCAGGCAAGATCCTGCACGTATAAATATCGTGGAGTGGGGTGCAGAAAAGGAGACTTCATAGCACAATATATTCTCCATAGGTCTTTCGTTCAGTTATGTAACTGATGCGATGACGAGCTGCTGCATTCCTCTGTAACCGCCACCCCCATATATATATATATATATATATATATATATATTGGGGTCAAACACCATGAAAGTGTAAACATAGGTTTTAGTTGCGGCAATACGTTTTTGTAAAAAAAAATTACCAGCAATGCATTTTTGAGAATATTAACAGCAATGCATTTTTGAAAAAAAAAAAAATATTACCAGCAAGAAATTTTTGAAGAAAAAAATATTACCAGCCATACATTTTTTAAGGAAAAAAATATCACCAACAATACATTTTTGAAAAAAAAATATCACCAGCAAGACATTTTGAAGAAAAAAATATTATGTACCAGCAATACATTTTTGAAGAAAAAAATATTACCAGCCATACATTTTTGAAAAGAAATATTACCAGCAATAAAAATCTCGTCAGTAATAAATTGAGGTTGAAATACCGTAAAACAAACCAAACTAAATATTTCCTAGCATTTTTGCTTCGTAATTTAATGTGTTGGCTACTTCTATAAATGTTTAAGGTCTCTTTGAAAAAAAAAACTTACATGAAATAATGTAGGTGAAAAAGTATCTACACCGATTAATCTGGAATACAAGATGACATTTATTTAACAAGAATTAAAAAAAAGAAAGTTTAAGAGGTCTTTATCTAGAAATAGGCGAAATACACAACGAAAATTATTAATTTATTTGGATGTGACTTACCTGTATAGGAGTGTTTGTATATGACGCGTACAAAGCCTTTTTTTGTTCGGTGTGGAAAGTTGATGGCGCACACTTCGAAAGGAGGAAAAACAGGAAAGAGAATTATTTAAGGTTTCGCTTGTTTTTCACCGTCTGTGATGCTGCAGATAATATGTTTAGTAAGATACTACATTAGTAAACTGTTGTGTAACGTTATTTCAGATTAAACTTCACTTTGAGATGGAATGTCAAGAATGAATATGCTTGACATCTTCACTTTGCTTTTAATCAAGGTCTCAAAAGACTCGTGAGAGTTGCGCTGTGTACGTAGATGAAAGGCTTTAAAAACAACCAAATAGTCAATGCAAAGTCTTATATTGAACAAATGAACAAGCTCATATATCAATGAAGCTGGAAATAACTGATTGGCAATACAGTGTGATTATTGAACGGGACAATGCTCTCCCCTAACGTCGAAAATCTGACCAAACATGGAATTAAAGAGCTCCGTTAAGAAGTTCTCTCGTACCCAGCATATTCCCACGATTTAACCCCATTCAGATTATTACCTTTTTTGGTCGCCTTCTAACAATTTGCGGGGTATTTCGTTCAACAACGATGTGTTCCTTAAAACGTGGTTTAATGAATTTTTCTAGTTAAAAAAAGCAGTGAATCGTAGGCAGTAGGTCGTAAACAATGACAGGAATCTATTGTTGAATAATTCTTTAAAAATTATTAATAAATAAATAACAAGTACTACAATTAATTATATAAAAACGAATGTATTTGTATGACAAACCATATATATATATATATATATATATATATATATATATATATATATATATATGGATTTGATCTATTTCGTTATATGTTGATGGATTTAATCCATTTCATTATATGTTGTCATTGTTTATGTTAAAATACGTTTCGTGAACAGATATGATCGATCGAGAAAAATTGTCGAAGATTGTCTTTTTATAAACAGTAATTTGAATTTTTCTAACCGGACAGTTCTTTGTAGCTTAATGGTATAGCGCGTCAGATGGTTTCCGTATAGGAATTCAGGTTAGATTCCTGTCGGAGAACGCATATTTGCTACGAAATTTCTCGAATATTCAGGCCGGTAAATGTAATTAATCGTATTTAATCTAGAACAAAGCATTTACTTAAGTAAATTGTATCTATAAAAATATCGTATTGACGGAATATATATATATATATATATATATATATATATATATATATATATATATATATATTCCGTTAATACGATATTTTATAGATACAATTTACTTAAGTAATGTTTTGTTTATTTATATATATATATATATATATAATCCATTCTTTTATATCTATTTATCTGCAGGGTGCGATGGATAAATTGTCATCTAAATTACGGGAAAAGGATATTAATAATGACATCTCATTTTAAAAGATATATTTACCAAAACTACACAAACATATCTTGAAATACGAAAAAGTAAATTTATTCAATAAAATCCCGATTGGCTTCAACCACGTCCTCCAGATGACTTCGGAATCTCCTGCAACTCTTCTGGAAGGTTTCCTTGATTAAGTTGTGAATAATGTCATAATCCTTGCCTTTCGTTACAAGGATTTTTCTTGGTATCTAGGTCAACTGAGCCCTACACATAATAATCAAGAGGATTGCAGTCTGGGGAGTTAGGTGGCCAGAGGTAAGAGGTGATGTAGTTGCCGAAAAATGTCTGACAGTCATGACTGGGTTCACTAGCATTCGTGGCATGGTGCAGAGACCTGCTGCCAGATATAGGGTCTTCCAGCAGCCATCCCCTTGACCCAGGGTAGCATTACCTCCTCAAGGCACTTGATGTAGACCTGCATGTTGAGGCAAAAACCCTATGGGAAGATAAATGGAAGCATAACATGGCCATCACTTGTGAACGCTCCAAACATCTTCCTAAACACTATTAGACTCATCCAACTCTTTCCGAATACTCTGCACTGTCCTCAGATTGACACTATGAAATGTTCGTATTGGAGATTCTGTCGCTAATGCCAGCCAGTACAATATGGCGTTCCCAAATTTCTGGCGAAGTGAATTGCACTATGGTGGTCCTTTTCTCATAGAAGGTACCCAACTGAGCTTACTATACTGTGTAGTCGACAAAATCAAAAAACATCAACGCGCATGCGCGAATGTAAAAATGCAGAATAAATAGTGACAATTTACCCATCGCACCGTGTACATAAAATGTGTGTGTGTATATATTCTTTCCATATGTATCTATATAACCATCTACACAAGTTTTTTCCTATCTTTCTATCAATCTATCTATTCTAGTCTATTCCTATCTATCTATCTATCTATCTATCTATCTATCTATCTATCTATCTATCTATCTATCTATCTATCTGTCCCATTCTTTTCATATCTATCTATTTATCTATCTGTCGAACTAACCCATTCTTTTCATATCTATCTATCTATCAATCTATCTATCTATCAATCTATCTATCTATCTATCTATCTATCTATCTATCTATCTATCTATCTATCCGTAACCCATATATAACACCACCGTAAGGTTGTCTCTCTGTTCTCTTTTTATAATTATTTTCATGGTAATTATTCGGGTGACCTCTTCCCCATAGTGTATAGACTGTATGAATTTAAGCTCAGTACTAGACTGGCTACGATATCTCTACTATTTACAGCTGAGCTGAGAAGATTTTACCCTAACTTCTATATTAATAGTTTCTTTTCTCTCCTGTGGACTTCCCTCCCGGTTCGATGCTTTCAAGTTAACATTAATCTACAAAAATTTTAAGCGCTAACTACTGTCTTCCTAATTAGTATTTTCTTTTCTACTTATTACTAATGTTTTCTGTTCCTAATTCTTCCTCACCATATAAGTCCTTGCGTTTTAGTTGCTTGGGTTGAAAACGGTTAAAAAATAAATATAACCCATTCTTTTCAGACCTCACTCTCTCTTATATATATATATATATATATATATATATATATATATATATATATATATATATACAATTCTTTTCCTATCTATCTATCTATCTATCTATCTATCTATCGATCGATCCATCGATCGATCTGACCCATTCTTTTCATATCTATCTCTCTCTATATATATCTACCCAATTCCTTCTCTATCCCATTCTTTTCATATCTATCTATCTATCTATCTATCTATCTATCTATCTATCTATCTATCTATCTATCTATCTATCTTCTCCATTCTTTTCATATCTATCTCTCTATATATCTATATGTCCCATTCTTTTCATGTCTATCTATCTATCTATCTATCTATCTATCTATCTATCTATCTATCCCATTCTTTTCATATCTATCTATTTATCTATCTGTCGAACTAACCCATTCTTTTCATATCTATCTATCTATCTATCTATCTATCTATCTATCTATCTATCTATCTATCTATCTATCTATCTATCTGTCGTAGACTCTTCATATCTATATATATATATATATATATATATATATATATATATATATATCCAGTTCATACATATCCTGTGTATCTGAAATTCTCCATTTCTTTATCTTTGTTTGTTTGTACATCCTTATCTAAATACAGTTTGGTATATAATGGTGGGAAAAAAGTTTCTTTCCTTTTCCTTTTTTTTACTTTTGATAATTATATTTCTATTGTTTTATTCTAATCATAATGTCTTTGTTTTGTTTTGTTTCTTTCTTTCTTTAAATGTCATTTCTTTCTATCTGTCTCTTCTGTTTGAATTATTCTTTCTCTCCTTTTTTTTTTTACTATTGTTTACCTTTTGTAACATTGTTTTAATCTTCCTCCTCTATTCATTTTGTATTTTCTGTATTATTTCTCTTCGGATTCCTTCCCCATTTCATTTCACTTTTAACACCTACCTTTTCTTTCCTTTCTCTCTTCCTTTTTGCTGTTTTCTTTCTCTGTCTTCCTCGTGTTTTTAATTTACTTTTCTTTCTTTGTTTCTTATTTCTCATTCTTGCTTTCTTTTCTATCGTTCTTTATTTTCTATTTTCCTCCGTTCAACACGTTTCCCTTTCTTATCTTCTCTTTCTTTTCATTTCTCTCCTTATTTCTTTTTTCTTTATAGCTTTTTTTATTTTTGTTTTCTTTCTTCTTTTCTCTTCTTTCTCTCAGTCCCTCTTGCTGTTTTCTTCTTCTTTCCTTTGCTTCTTTTCGTTCTTTTCTTCGTTTATTTATTCATTTATTTATTTGTCTTTTTTTTCCCGTCTTTGCCATTCTCGTTCTTTCTTGTATCTTTCAGGTGTTTCAACAAAACACCAAAGAACAATGCTTCTCTGTTTGACTTCTCGGCTTCTCGCTATCGCGTTGACATGTTATTCACGTTAGACAAGTAGGCAGGTCTTAAAAAGCAAGAAAATAAAACCATGCAGCGTTTTTCTTTAAGTGTTTATTTCTTACACTTCTTTTTAAAAACTTTTTTTCTTACATACCTACTCGCCTTTCATTCAAATTTGTTCAAATCTATCTTTCATAAATAGTTCCATTTCCTCCCTATTCTTTTGTTCTCGATCAAATCTCGTTACAGCGTGACTTTCGCCAACCCTTCCTGCCTACCGTTAAATCCGACCAAAGAAATTCGAGTTAGGAAATCTTTCAATCCCAAGATAAGACATATCAGTTGCCCGTAAAAAGAAAGGGGAAAAAAACCAGTTCGATGGCGTAATGTAAGTCGAAAATAAATAAAGAGATAAATAAATGATATATCTTACACATTCCATTTTGTCTATTTTCAGCCATCATACAAAACAGGTATTATTTACCATAAAATTTTAATCTTTCCTTTTCGACAGTAGCTACTATTTTTTTAATTTTATAAAATTCTTTTTTGCTATTTTTGACAATTACCGTACATTGCGGCGTACAAGTCGATTTCAAGATTTTTCTCTCAAAATTCTGAATTAGGCCAATAATTAACGTATAGGTCGCCCCCCCCCAAAAAAAAAGCATACGCTAGGTGACCAGTTGCTTCTTTAGCTCTGTACTCCGAACGTTTGCGCCTGAACTTTGAAATATTTTTCACTATTTACTTCATTTTATTTTTTCTCTTTTTTACCAATGTGAGTAAATAGGTTCGCTTCACCCGTTTCTCAATCCTTCCCAGTCTTTTGATGAAGAGTAGAGGCTTATCTCTTGTATTCTGTTCAGATATGGGTTTCTGATTCCTTCTAAAGTCTGCTTCAATTATGTACTCCTAATACTTGCTCTTTCCTACGCTAATACAACAGCACACAATAAGTAACTCTCTACCTTGAGTGTCTCTTGAGCCTTGTATTGAGTGAACATTAGTAAAAAAAAGTTACTTCTCTCTTTTCATCTTTTTTTATTTTTCTTTCTTTCCTTTTTTTTTCTTTTTTGTCTAATTCAAATATCTCTTTTGATTACTTTTCATCTCCTCATTTTTTCTTTTTTACCTTCCCTACTTTTATTCTTTCTTTCTTTCTTTCTTTCTTTCATTTCACTTTCTTTCTTTCATTTCGCTTTCTTTCTGTCTTTCTTTTCCCCTATTTTTATTTCACTTTTCCCTCTTCCTATTTTTTTCTCTCTCTTTCTTCCTTTAATTTTTATATTCCCTCTCTCGACCTTTAATTCATTTACTTTTCCTCTCTTTGTTTTCATTCTTTCTTTATATTTCGCTCTTTATTTATATTGTAGGTTCACCTTTCACCCAGTTCACACTCCTCCTCGGGCTTTTGATCAGGAGTAGAAGCTTATCCCTTGTTTCCTCTTTAAGAATTGATTTCCAATTTCTTCTGAAGTCTACTTCAACTCTATACTCATAACGCTTGTTATTTCCTACGCTAATATTTGTCCACAAAGTAACCCTCCACCATGAGTGGCTCTTGGGCCTTGTCTTGAGAGAACATGAGTAAAACTTAGTAAATGAAGTTACGCTACAGTATACGATAACATGTGCTAAAACTACATAAGGTCATACCACTTGCCTATATATTGAGACACTAAACGTAATATATTTCTACATGAGTTGTGTAGCAAACAACCTACAACACACAGATAGGTACCATCTATTGTATCGGTATGATTTAGTGAACATTTAAAATTCATCCTCTACTGAGAAACACATTAAAGTCAGCATCAACTCCTATAAAATATTAATATCATAGGTTACACATCATACCAGTTAGTTTTTGCTAGTCCTGCTACCTATCGTATGATATTTTAAAACACAGTATCCCTCATCCGCCATTTGCGTCAGGGGTGTAAATAAACAAGTGACGTCATCTCTTAGCGTATCAGCGATTTGACACGATAGTTCTGTAGCGTTAATAGAGTACTGAGTTTGTGCCACTATTTTATTATTTATATTAATCCCGATCATAGCTCTCCCCAACTTCCTGTCACTTGTAGCTGTTTATAACTGTTGTCTTTCTCTTTACTTCTCCTAAAACCTGTGCCGCCATTAATTTACTAAGGCTGTCGAAGTAGGTTATGTGGTCTAACTCTATATTGTCTTTAATCGCTCCTGTGAGTATCAGACTTTCCAAGCCCTCCTTTCTCATTATGTATCCCAGAAACCTGAACTGTCTCTCCTGGATATTAAGTATAAGATGCACTTGTTTCCATTTTCTCTTGATGCTCACACGTTCAGTCCATGGTTTTCTCAGTGTCCTTCTGTAGAACCACATTTCTTTTGCCTTTAACCCTTTAAACACTGCGTTCATGAACAATTTTAACCCTTCTGCCTGAGTTCCTGATTCAAAATTCGCAAAAAATTGGTAAGGTTTCACGCTAGATATGAAAATATATACAAGTGTTTACCCACTGTTCAACCGGTGGCTGAGTATTACGTCATTTTTCTCCTCGACCGGTAAAGCGGTGGTCGGTGCACAAAGTGATAAGTCTCTTCTTCATTGTAGGGGAGATTGTCCAACATTCACAGTTATATCAAAGAAGAGATATCACGTAAGAATTCATTACTCTTTTCTTTGTTTCTAACGAATTTTTTCTGTCTCTTAATACTTTGCTTAGCTTTTGGAAGGCATCTTTAGCTATTCCAATGCGCCTTCGGATTTTCAACGTCACATTTTCCGCCCCCCTTTCTAGATACTTAAATTCTTGTACCTGTTTTATTTTGTTATCTCCGATCTGTAAAACCAAAGTTCTGTTACTTCAAGTCACATTACTCTTTTCTTTGTCTCTAAAGAAGTTTTTCCGTCTTCTAATATTCTTCTTAGCTTTTTGGATGCCTCTTTGTACCCGCCGTAAATGTCGACTACTAGTCTTGGAAATATATTGTAGGCTTAAAAACTAGGATTCCAGTCATCTGAAAAGGCCGAAGAGTACAACAGCCGAAACGTTGTGAATATGGCAATGAAGATGAGGCTAACAGTCCGAATAATGTAAATAATTCAGTTAAAGATGTATTGGTTGTTCGGTCAATGAATTCCGAAACGGCTTATATTACAATTAAAGATTAGCAGATCAGGTACTACACTTTGATCCAAGCACGATGGACAGGAAGTGAAGAAAAGCGTAACTAAATCTGCATTGGCTGCCTGGTCAATAGACTCCGAATCTTTCCTTATAAGGAGTTAATATTTCCATTACGTCGTCTCGTTAGAGACAATTATTATTATTATTATTCCGATTCAGAAGTGATATATGCTTCTGTGGGTGGAAACAGTCAGAGTGTAACCCTTGGAAACACATATTCTAAAATCTCCAAGAGTTAAACATCTTGGCGTGCCTCTCAAGCAAATGTTTTCTGATTGACCAATTTGTGAGAAACTTGTTTTCTTTATGCCTTGTTAGCTGGTTGGCGCCATAAAACAGGCAGGAAACATTTGAAAAAAAAAAAAAAAGAAAATTCCACCAGGGAGCACTTCACAGTTAACTTCACTTACGCCATTTTGCTAGTCTTTAAAAATACTAATATTCGTCCCAATTCATTTTTAATAATGGCTAACAGACAGAAAGATAAATAATGAAAAATCATATATATATATATATATATATATATATATATATATATATATATATATATATATTGAATTATATTGTATTGGGGCAGTAATCCCTCTTTTATAGAAGTTCAGTTAAAGACGACGGACAAGTTAGTAGGCTTTTTATTTAATTTTTCTTGTGTTCTTACAAGTGTTCTCTTTTCTGGACACAAAGTGTATAAAACCTGTCCAAAATTTCTGCATATCCGAGCGTTTTTACCTATTCTTTTAGCCATTATCAAGGACGATTTTTATTTTTCATTTTTAACTGAATGTGTGAGATATTTTTTTTATGTATATGTCTAAAGTTATAGGAATGTTATATTTTCCGAACACGGTCGGCACATTGTGGCCGTGCTCAGAGTTAATGTTATTGAGTGTTGGCTCTTACTTCTTTATTACTAGGGTTTCCATTATTTTTAATATTGTTTTTACAGGTGGATGATGCCATTATACTTGTACTTTCTTCGGACGGAAAAAGGACGAAGTATACGCTTTAAGTGTTATATAGTCAAAAAAGGCTATTATTTATCGGGGCAATGGTAGAAAATGGCTACAAATATCAATATATATATATATATATATATATATATATATATATATATATATATATATAATTATTTATTTAAAAAAAAATTTATAATATAAATATGTTATAAAATCACTACAAAAATAGCCATTTTGTTTCAACACCATCGGTGTCTTATCAAGTAATGATGTTGAATATAAAATAAATGGTTTTAAAGTTTCAAATTATTTAATCTATATATATATATATATATATATATATATATATATATATATATATATATTCAAACAAATATTGTTTAATATCACAGACAAGTAATGTCTATTATGTTTTATCATGAGCTTTGCCAAGCCTTGTATAATGGCTCTAATTTCAAGAGAAAATAAAGACAAAACTGTCCAAAATTTGCATATTTCTTTATTATATTGATTTTCGATCTAAGCTTTCGGCTTACATGCGCCATCATCAGATTCGTTATATGAACATTACACAGAAATATCCACTGCCAAAGATGATAGCCTCTTTTATTTACATGGAAGTTTACTATACGATATTAACTGTCGAGGAATAGCAAACACAGTTCGTAAATTCGTAATGTGGTTCTAGGACGTCGTACATGACCATGTGAGTGTAAGCAATGTTATCAACAGAAGCATATGTTTAAATGCATTGTAATATGTTGTGACTGGTATCATCTGTCTAATATTATGTATGTGGTTATGTAAATAAAGCAGGATGTCATCTTTGACAGTGAACATCTCCGTTATAATATCCTTATAACCACTCTGATGATGGCTCATGTGAGCCGAAAGCTTAAATCGACGACCAGTATAATATAGTATTGTACGAATTCCCTGTGACATTCCTTTGGGTATCTCAATTTCAGTAAATTCTCTTTAGTCACACATCTCTCCACACATAGCCCAGTGGATAAAAGCTTGGGTTGAATGATACGAAAAGTGACTTGTTCCAAAGAGTTGTGCACAGTTCTACACATTGCAAAGGGAACAAAACTATTTGCAGAAAAGCTACGTCACGTTGGTGAGAAAGAGACTAAAATTTTAATGCCAGCTCAATATATATATATACCGTATATACTCGTGTAACTTGCGGTCTCGCGTATCGTGCGACCCCCAAATGTTTACTTATAAAAAATGATTTTATCATCTACTAGCAGTAGAACCCGGCGTTGCCCGGGGATGTAACAGTAAGAGATAGATCAAGTATCGACCATCATAAAGACTGAAAAATAAAATTGACAAAGATTATTGTTTAAGGTTGACGAGCACGCATGTCTTAATTAGTTTTTTTTTTTTTTACGAATTGGTCAAACCCAAACTCAAACAAAAACATTGTTTTCAATCGTTATGAGTCTATCAATTGAATAGAATTTTATTATAAATAATTGTTTTGTAAATGGAATTTTTAAAACATTCTGAATGTAAAAATAAAGAAAAAATGTGCAAGACAATAAGAAACACTACCTGCCAAAAAAAAAGTGAAGTTTTGTTGAGATCGGTTGAAAAATGTAGGAAATTCGATCCCATACATAAACGAACACACACACACACACACACACACACACACACACACACACACACACACACACACACACACAACCAACCTGGGTTTTATAATTCGATAACTCGATATTAATAAGTATAACTCGATATGAGTTTTCCCCCTTTCATTAATGCCTCTTAATCGTGTTTTCAAATTGATTTCGTGCAAAAACAATTGTGTTTTTCCAATTTTTGGCGCTGTCAGAACCAATGCAAAGGTAACTTTACGTAGTCCTGTAAAGTTTTGTTGAAATCGGTTGAAAAATGTAGGAAATCCGATCCAATATATAAACTTACAGACACACACACAATCTGCGTTTTATAATAAGTAAGATCTCGTGTATCATAAAAATTCCTTTTTTGACACACCAAATTACAATAGACTCACCTCTTTTCCTCTATCTCTTTATCCCCTCTTCTAGTTAAACAAGTTAAAAAATTAAAAGACAATGGTAAAATTATCGTTAATAACGCTATACTCGTTGCGTAGACGCGTACAGCCATAAACAATCGATCGAGAAACAGCTAAATATC